AACATGACATTGGGGCGATAACATCTGCATCCGAGACTTTTTTAACATACTTCTCGAAACGCAATCAATCTAGGGTCTCGATCGAACGACATATGCAATGGACATAATTGCAACATTGCAACAACATATGCAAATCATATAATTGCAACAATTAATACAATTCCAAACTTGGAAAACGTTGTTTACTCCCTTCTTATCGATGGGCTGCAAAATGTGTTCATCATTTCACAGTCTGTTCCACGTTGGTTCTTGGCGTACCTCAATGTTATAGAACGCAACGGGGATGCAACGGCGACGAGCGGGCGGCGGTCCAAAGGAGTAAGCCCCAATGGAAGGCAGGCTGACTCCCGCACTCTGGTGGGGAGTCTTTTCTATATATTACTTTTTGCCGTATAAGAGTAAATGAAGGTCTTCACGCTGAAATAATAATTCCTGGAATAGCATAGGGCCCTTTTTACTTTTTTGGGCAGCGCCTTTCACACAGCCATGATTGGAAAAGTGCAACGCAGCAGTCATTTGACTTTATCTGCTCTTTTCTCAACACACGAATACCACGTGGCTGTACTGTTGGTACCTTTGTCAAGCATTTCAAGTCAATGACCAAGAAATCACGCAGGGCTCCGCACGAAATTATGTTTTTCAGCACTATTATAAACTGCAAGATATATACATACCATTTTTTGTAGGCTTAGTGTCACTAGATCACATTACGGATTTCAATAAATTCTCGTATTGTGGACCAATCTGCGGGCTGGATTGAGGCGGAGCAGAAATTTCCACCAAAACATGGATTAGGACCGACTGGATTTTTTAATTTGCCAGTTCATATGGATGGAACAGATTGGAAATTTATCAACTGGAAATTATGACTAAATATTCCCAGTAATGTTAAATAATGGCATCAACCCGGAAAAGAGCATTTAAACCAATAAGATACAGCACTTTCAGTTGTAAGTAATGCGCAATCAGCCTGCATATAGCATAACTCAGCCACATAGTCTACGAACAATCTTTTCGATGAAAATGTTCCATTGACAACTTGATGTGAATGAGTGACAGTCGTAAATGTTTTTTATGGAAAACAAAAGCTCCCATTCCTTCCAAGGTAACTACATTGCCTAAGTACCTAATATCCTATCTTATCATAACATAGCTACCAATTCTGCTGATCTTGTCAGCAATCTCATTTGGCCCCTGTGGGTGACACTGCATTTTAGAGTTGCAACGCAGGGCAGGAGCATGTTTTGTTAGTAGAAAGCACGCCACAGAGTTTTGAAATACAAACTCCTGTTTGAAAAAGGTAGAAAGTGAAGCTCCATGACAACGCCTTAGTTTCTGTTCAACTTGTCATTCAGTCAAATTTATGAATCGAACACCAGCTTCAAATTAAGTATGCCGCTTCCACTGATCCATTTGCATGTGTCTGTCAGAACGGCATGTGACCTCCTCACAACTATTTGTTTATCCGCTCCCCTCCCCAATTAATGTTTCTAAAAAGTGAGCATGATGTTCTGTACAACCATAGACCAAAGCTGACTTTCTCACCAAAAGTGAATTAGGTACTCTTTGCGTCCACCAAAAAAAGACGTTGCTGTTGGGTAGGTACTTGTTGGTTTGTGTCCTATCTACTTTACTCCCACGTACATTAACTATGGACAAATTGTACGCCGATAATGCATTTGCATACATGTGATTCTCCTGTTGTGATTCAGAAGGTCCAACACACTTTATACAGAGTCGGGAAATTGATGTGGGTGAACATGCCACTCATTCATTCATACCTCAAGCAAAGACAGTCCATTCACACCTCAAATGAAGATTTGGTAAGCTTTGGGGCAGCTTGTGTGGACACCAGAACCCATGTCATGTGGCTAGTATTTATATGAGATGTAATATGAGCGCCAGCGGTCATGGCAGATGTCGGATGATGCGCGACAAGTATTCAACTAACTCTCGCACAACGCTTTGTGAAAATGGGAGGATTTTGTGCTTGTGTTTAAGGCCCTTCGGAGCACGAGAGACGTTTCACATTGACGAAAACGCGCGCCATCTAACGGAATATTCATGGCAACTCTATTAGAGCGTTGAAAACAAAACAATGAATGCAAAGATACGTTCTGTTATCAAAATACATAAAAAATGGCAGCTTGAAGAAAAATGGAATGCACAAGACAAACATGACACGATACACATAAGTCACATTTATCACACATAACAATGTTAGGTGGTACCGATCATGGCTTACCATCTGCTGATAAACCACAGAATAGTCTAGTCCAGTCTAGTCTGCATGCCGTGGACTTGAGGCAAAATACAGAGTCTTTTTTAACGCCTTTCAGGTACCATTTTCACGAACACATGGTGTGTGCTAGTTATCCACAGGTAGTTATTTGAAAGCTACAATAATCGGAAGCATTTCATAAGCTGCTTTCCACCAAAGTTCTCATTTTTTAGAAACACAATCCCTGCATATCATCATCATCTGCAATCTCTGTCTTATCCGTGTGTCCAACGTAGAGGGGCTCCCACGCGTGTACTTGTCTGTTGATAGCTGGGTCCATGTCGTGCATGTATACAGTTTCGAGCACATACAGTCGACTGACATCGTGACATTTGTCTTGATAGTGGTGATATCTACCATTTGTTGCCTGATGACTCGCTGGTCATGGTGGGATTCCGTATGCAGACTTCATAGATGTCGTAAGCGACTTAGCAGGCAACATATGGTAGATAGCACCACTCTCGCAGACAGATACCTCGACGTGAGTCGATCAAGTGCATGTGCCCGAGGCTGTATAACTATGCGACATGGACCTATCTATCAACAGACAAGTCAACGCGGAGGGAACCATAGCCCTCTACGTTGGGCACACAGATAAGACCTGTTATGCTACGATAGAGTACCTGAAAAGATGGAGACCTTGCGGGATGTCATTTAGGTGCTTGAAATCAGCGGACACGATTTTTGTTTTAAAATACTGTAGATACCTGGCACGTGGATTCTGTGGATACCTAGATATCCTCTGGACACCGAGCATGCATCGTGTGTTCGTGACCAAGCGGGAGATGAAAGGAATTCCGCTGGCTCTCTGTATTTTGCTCCAAAACTGCGGTGCGTAGACTAGATTATTCCGCGTTGTATCAGCTAATCACAAACCATAATGGGTGTTTTCTAACATAAGTCCTGTATGGTGAATGTGATGTAGGCAATACGCCTTGGAAATGTCAAAGCATTGACGAAATATCGACGACATATAAACAACGTGACAGGAATACGGTTCGGTTGGACTCTTCTTGCAACGAGATTGGCTTCTGCCTTAAACAACTGCAACCCAGAAAGCAGAGGGCAAGCGTTTGATCCACAAGATCGAAAATACATCTCGGAAGAAAGTAAACAATGCCCTCGTTTCTGTTTGCAACGGTGATTGCTTATATATATATATATATATATATATATATATATATATCTTTAGATATGCATGTTTTTATATACATATGCAAACATCATGTATTTCATTATGTATATTTTTTGAAGATGCTTTGAAATGCTTTAAGAGGCGCGAGTTGGGTCGTTTGGCTTTGTCTGGAACTGGGTATCACCGTTTATGATCATCTAAATAAATTTGATGAAATCCACTCACAAAACGAGTCAGTGTCCCGGTGTCTTTTCCAGACCCCTTTTCCTTGGTTTAAATTCCACAGCAGCTGATTTGCCATAATCTTGAGCAAGTTGGGGGTCCGATGCAACCGACGCAGTCGCCCTTCTGATATTTGCATATGAAATAGGATTCATGGTAATATGCAATTCAAATGTTTATTCGAAAGAGCTTTGTATGTTGAAGAGGTGCCATTTTTGAGTCATCAGTTGCCAAGCCCCCAGCTGAGAATAATTAAGAGGAAGCTTAGGCGTACAAGGAGCGTACACAAAGCATTCTCATTGGCGGAGCGTTCGCCTTCATGGCACACAGCGAGTGTGCACTTTTCCATCTCGTATAACGGAATTTCACCCTCTGTCGGCGGTGGGCCGGGGGGAGTGTAGGTGCCATCCCTCAATAACAGCAGTTCTGAAACCGCGTAGTAACGATAAACGCTGCGTCGCATCATTTCAGATGGCTATGAACCCATTTGCTGTCAATTGCATTTTTTCAAAGAAATCAGCCGCAGGTCATGTCGGGTTACTGAACCAAGACGTCTTACGAAAGTGCTTCACTACACAAGTTGCTTTTCCACTGTTCATGTGCACTGAATGGTACATCGGTCGCGACATTGGTGCAAAATTATGATCCCAAAGCACGCGAGTCACTTTTGGTGGGTCTATTACCCTTTCATTGCCGAATAAGCTCATTGACCCATGGGGACCCTGCTGGGCCTTGGACGGGTCACAAGATACTTTTGCTCCCGGTCTGACCCAATGCTATTTTGCCTGCCTTGCTCCAAAGGCTTCGGTCTACGTTACGAGTAGCTAAACTTTTGACTTTGTGTTTGCGAGCATTGAGACTGACCTGAAATCGGTCACTATTTTCAGAGCACTGAGTCCCTCCGGCATCGGTGAATTCTATAGACTCTGAGCCCCCCCCCCCCCCGTAATTTCGTTTCGTGGTCATGGAAAGGTCAATGTAAGGCCAAATGGTGAGGTGGGCCAGCTACCCCTCTCCGTCGTTGGGTCGGAAGGCAAACATTGCTCACCCACTCCGAGTGAATGGATGCCCAGCTTTTGGAATATTTCCATGGAATTCATAATGTTGCATGACATTACAAAATGTCATTCTCTTCTCTGTCCCATATCTCTGTGGCCTTCTCATACCACGTCAGTGGGGAATCTAATCAGATTTGAGCAAAACGGTCCGGTCATTTTGATTGGATGAATATCTGGGATAGGATAAGTGCACGTCGAGACTTCACTTGTTGTGTTAAGACTGACCTCATTATCTAACCATTAAATTCCAGGTTGCTGGCACAATTTTGTGGCGAAATTTTTGACAACTGGGTCCTTATTACAGATCCCGCATACAAGGCGGCGTGGGGCGCGCATACTTCTCAGACACAAGGTAAGAACTGCACTCGGTTAAAGCATGGCTGTGTTGTGACGTCACAGTGGCGCCGGAAGTCCGTAAAGCTGTGGCCGGCCGCAGGCCCAGCTTTTCATCGCTAATTGGACATATTCCACTAGGTATTCAGGTAAATCTAGGTCGGCTTCAAAAAGCCGTTGAGCGTGCTATTTGATGCTCTTTTGTTGCTGCTGTTTTTGTGGTCGAATGCGTGCCAAGATTAGCAACGAAAAACTAAAAGAGAAGAATGCCAGAATTCAAACACGTCGGCGATGCCATTTGCCACACTGTGTGGATCACTCTTAAAGCAACCACGGATAAAACGCTCTGAACGCGCAGCGATGCGTGTGGCAAATTGAGTCACCGGCAAATCATGACACAGATATTGGGCTATTTGGTTCCTCAGATGTCATAACTTCGAAGGAGATATGCGACTGGGGACCAAAACGGTCAGTACTGATGCAGTCGCAAGACGTTAGGACGTCGCAGAGAACAATGCAAGATCACTATGCAGTTGCAGCCGTCGGCAGCAACTCAACACTGTTATTAAGTATGCATGCTGGTTTTCCAGCAAAATCTAGTTTGTGATCAGTTCCTCAGAAAACATTATAACTGTCTTTCGAAATCTCGATCAAGAGGCAGTCCACGGACCGTGAGCCCCCTCTGAACCCTTCCCTGACCTGACCCCCTCCCCCTCCCCCACCCTCCGCAATCACCGCCCGGCCGACACTCCTCTTCCTCGGTGGCGGCGGCACCCGCAAAAATCAATAGCGCCCGCGGCCCTCTAACCAAACACGGCGGCGTGCCCGGCTAGCCGACGCGCCGGCGGTGGCGGCGCGACCTCTGGACGCCGCTGTTGAATTTCATCAATTGATGTATCCGTAGCAATATCCATCTGTCGCCGGCCGGGCGCGTCGCGTCGGCCCGATAGAGCGTGCGGCGCTCTGTTTGGCAAGCCAGTCGGCCGCGAAATGCGACAAGAAAAGTCTTTCCTCGTGCGCTGGCGCGCGAGGTGAACAAACGCGCGCCGCCCTCCGGGGAGAGATTGTCTGGCGATCGGGGGATGTGCCGCGACTGGTGTGGTGACGGCACAGGCTGTGGGGAGACTGTGACGGCGATAACAACCGGAGTCAGGGGTGGGCTGAGAGTTGGGACGATGGAACTCTTCGGGAGACGCGCAGCTCCGGCCTACTCTTCGGCCGTCTTTCGACATGCGTAGCTCATGCAGCGCTTCTGCGTCACCAAATGCTGCTCGCCTTCCCCACAAGCCCGTCATGGTGAATCATCATCAGTGAATGTGTAGAAATGTGTGTGGCGTCGACATTCATTAGGATGCGTCGGACCATTAGTCACAGACCACCGACGCTCGCTGTCTGGACGGGGAGAGCGGGAGCAAGAGAGAGAGGAGAAAGAGAGAGGGACAGAGAGGGAGAGAGAGAGAGAGAGAGGACAAGGGAGAACAGAGAGAAAAGGAGGAGGTAAGAGAGAGATAAAGAGAGAGAGAGGGAAGAGGGAGCGAGAGGGAGAGAGAAAGAGAGGGAGGGAGAGAGAGAGAGAAAGAAAGAAGAGAGAGAGAGAGAGAGAGAGAGAGAGAGAGAGGGAGAGAGAGAGGGGGATTTGCATACTCCTCCGGCTCCAATCTTCTGGATTGATAAGCTGCGGGCCGGTCTTGTCAGCACGACTGGGGCTCGATCATGCCCCGCCTCTTCGCGGTCATGACCTGGTCATGCCGCCTGACTCCGTTCCTGACGCCCCCCCCCCCCTCTCTCTCTCCCTCTCTCTCTCTCTCTCTCTCTCTCTTCTCTCTCTCTCTCTCTCTCTCTCTCTCCTCTCTCTCTCTCTCTCTCTCCTCTCTCTCTCTCTCTCTCTCTCTCTCTCTCTCTCTCTCTCTCTCTCTCTCTCTCTCTCTCTCTCTCTCTCTCTCTCTCTCTCTCTCTCTCTCTCCTCTCTCTCTCTCTCTCTCTCTCTCTCTCTCTCTCTCTCTCTCTCTCTCTCTCTCTCTTCTCTCTTCTTCTCTCATCTTTCTCCCTCTCGGTCTTTCGCGCGCGTGCGGTCATTAGCACACATTATCGTTGCTGAATGGGATTGTTCCCAGTTACTTTCAATTCTTCCTCTCCGCTCGCCTCCCTCGGGCGCTCTTGTTAGTCGTAATTCATGTGTGAATCGCTTTGATGGCTACATATACCCAATTTACGATGGATGAGCATTGTTGGCGGCCGTGGAAGGGTCCGTCGGTCCAGCCCCGAGCCAGATTAAACAAATTGAATCTGAGCCTAACGAGCAGATTCTTTCTCCACCGTCAGCCTTCAAAGGGGCTCCGAAAGCGAGTGACCCCGCACAGATTGCCTTGTTTTATTGTGTTATTCTACAAACAGACCCGTAAGCAGGCATTACCTAGAAAACAGGTCGCATTGTGTGTGGGCTACGATACGCGGCGTATCAAAGGACATTGCCCTTGTGTTGCGTCGCATTTGTAAAATGTCATTGCGGGCAGCATTTACTACGGAGATGCAACATACTAGGTTTGTTGCTGACAAACAAGGTGATTTTTCTAATCACATGAACCACTGCTGTTGTACGCACGTGTCACTTCATCAACGCATAATACGCCTCGGAACAGTGATTCCGTTGTATTGAATTTACTTCTTATTCGCGCTGCCAATTTCATTAACTGGTTGGTTGCGTGCTAACACACGCGGAGCATCGCAGACTAGGATTGCTTGGTAGCGTGCGGATTTTTGTGTATCGTTTTCTCTGTTGAGTTTCAAGTGGTTTTACAATGTCGGTGGCCGACATCCGCCCCAAGCGAAGTTTCAGCGTTGACCTGAGTTATGACCCGCTCGCACGGTGGCTCGCCCTCGGCCTAATATCGATGGTGCACTGGTGCAGCCACTTTGGCACGAGCCCTGGACACGCCACGCATGGTGGCTGCTATTCTCGGGCTGGTAACACGGTCTGGAATGCTCCGGCCCAGGGTCCTCGCCATGCTTTGGGTATCGTTTCCACGCAGTGTCTGATTCAAGGCAGCCTTTCAGCAAGCATTCCGATCTAAATAGTTACAAAGAGCCAGCGTGTTTTATTCAGGGTGTAGATTTTGCGTCAGGATTGTACAATGAGAGCGTCCCTTCGGGCTCAAAGTAATTACGTCGTCACTCCCTGTCACGTGAATCATGACTTATAAGCAGGCGAAGGCATTTCTTCTGGCTCACAGTGATGATGTCGTCATTTCCTGTCACGTGACTCATGACTCATAAGCGGGCGAAGGCATTTCTTCTGGCTCACAGTGACGATGTCGTCACTCCCTGTCACGTGACTCATCACTCATGAGCGGGTGAAGGCATTTCTTCTGGCTCACAGTGATGATGTTGTCACTCCTGTCGTGTGACTCATGACTCATAAGCGGTGAAGGCATTTCTTCTGACTCACAGTGATGATGTCGTCACTCCCTGTCACGTGACTCATGAGCGGCGTCTCCGCCCCCCCCCCCCCCCCCCCTATAAAACTACCTCTGATGCGAACCACTACCCATCGCTCCGCCCCTCTGAAGAGAACATCATGTCCCGCTACAGACTGCCCCCTCCCCTCGCCGCTCGCCCGCCGCCGAGGCCCGTCCCTCTTCGTCACCGTCGCCGCTCGCCCGCCGCCGAGGCCCGTCCCCCTTCGTCACCGTCGCCGCTCGCCCGCCGCCGAGGCCCGTCCCCCTTCGTCACCGTCGCGGCGGGCGGGTCGCTGTCGAGACGTCACTGCTCAATCACGACCCTGCCGACACGGGCAGTCTGTCGGGGCGGGCCCGGACCGGTAGCGGTCTTCCACCACGACCCTGCCGACACGGGCGGTCTGTCGGGGCGGGCCCGGACCGGTGACAATCTTCCATCACGACCCTGCCGACACGGGCGGTCTGTCGGGGCGGGCTCGGACCGGTGGCAATCTTCCATCACGACCCCGCCGACACGGAGTTCTGTCGGGACGGGGCCGGGCCGGTGTCGGTGCTCCATCATGACCCTGCTGACACGGGCGGTTTGTCGGGGCGGGCCTGGGCCGTGTCCGTGCCCGGGCCCCATGACTCAGGCCTCGGCGCGCCGTACCTCAGCCGGCCCGGGGTGTGCCGGCGGCGTGCGTGGCCGCAGCTCGATCCACGCCCCGGCGCCGGCCCGCTCACCTAACCGTCGCCGGGGTCTCAGCCAAGCGGCCCTATGTCATGTGTTATGGTGACGGCGGCGTCGGACGCGACCTGTAGTTGGACCTGTCGTGGCGCGATACTGCCCAGCTGTATTTAGCTGCGCCCGTTCCGAATGCTTTACGGGGTCGGCTAGCATCCGATGCCTATCGCAGCAAATGGTTGATGGGCGGCACTCCGAGCCACCGCCGTCTGTGTAATCGCTCGTAATATCAGGCGCTTGGCGACGTCTCTGCCATACCGCCGCTGCATCACGCAAGCCAGGTATTTGGAATTTGGGGTGGTTTCAGAACTACTGAAAACGTTCGACGGTAAACTGTGACAGTACTGAGGCCATTTATACGGTTCAATCCCGTTCAAAGACTGATCAGTGCTGACATATATATATATATATATATATATATATGTTTGCTCACGACATGTGAGCATTGCATGCATTTTAAGGTACCCAGTAAACGCTGAGTGAAATCATTTAGTCATCAACATTTAGTTTTTCATCAGAAAGAAACATTTTGGAGCATGTGGAAGTCAGAGGCTTGTAGGGTTTCACCTACAGTGCGGTATTGCGGCAAGGCCGTTGAGAGAGCTATCGCTCATGACGATTGGTGAGCTAACAGTTTCGTATATTTTAGCTCAGTTCACGAATTCTCAGAATCTCCTGCAGAGCCCAGTCGTGCATAACTTTGCGGATCGTCGGTCTTCTCAAAGAGGGCTCGTGACGGGGGTGCAGCCTCGCATCACGAGTGGAAGCCTGAGCGGAGAGAAATGGCTAAACCTATCTCAAAATACGCTAAACAAACGGGGGCGTGAACCCATGCTCGGGAAGGACGGGAGGTCATCTTTATGAATTAGGAGGCCTTGTTCTGGGTTAAGAGGCAGGCTCTTTAAAGGGAACGTTTCGTAGTTGAAGACATCGAGGCAAGCATTAGATGATATGAAACAGGCTCACTTATCGGGAGCATCCCGTTTTAGATTAGGGGGCCCCATCCCCCCATGCATCAGGAGGCCCTTTTTGAGGTCACGGCTACATTTTGATGGATAATTAGAAGATCTCATTCTATTTTTTGTTAGCTGTCAACTCGTATTTTCTGGATATTATGAATGCAACGGCTTGACAAAGGAGGATAGGAGGATACTCCCCAGTGAGGAGACCCTCCTTTGTCCGCCTTGAAAATCCTGCTCCCTCCATCATATGATATGTGGCGCCACCCCTGGCCATGATCGCTAACAGTGGAATATAATATAAAATCATGAAATCATAGAATCAACGTACAAAATCTACGCGTTGCTCTAGAGCTTCACGGGTACCGATCCATAATTTTCAGAGACAAATGAGGTCATTGAACATGATAGCACTTACAGCGCAATGAATTCCTAATTGGCTGACCTCCGTTTCAGCGTACTCGCACAACAGTCTGTCAAGCGTGGCAAAGTCATCTCTGGAGGCCAGCCATGCTCACCTCAGACAGCCAGGTGAGAGCTCAGATCTTCCCGTGCCCCCTACGCCAGGTAAGAGCTCAGATCTGCCCGTGTCTCTCACGCCAGGCGAGGGCTCAGATCTGTCCGCGTCTCAGTCTCGGGGCACAACTTACAGAACGCAATGGTTGTACATGATTGCCAGCTTTTGTACAGAATTGCGTTACAAACGCTGCAGGCTTACCAAGATAAAATGCATGAAACTGGGTTTCGTCACAATAGGTATACAAGCCTTTGGATAGTTCAAAAACGTCAAAGGTTTTGCAACCTATGCCTACTTGTACCCATCCCGTATCTTTAAGACATGCTGGAATGCTAGTTTATCGTGGTATATGAGCACGCCCCGGGGGTGCAAGAAGACGGTTCCGGGGTCATTGTTGCCTTCCACATCTGAAAAGTCCGACATTGACCTTAAACCATGACGCAAGGCAGGAATTGAATCGAAGAGGACTTATCGCCGTATGCTTTTCTGAAGCATTGCTACGCCTTTGTTAGGTGTTATTTCCCGCCTACTATCCGCTGCCGAAATCCGAAATCCTGTGGCCGGTCTGCGCCGAGCCCACGACAGTCCTTCAGCCGTTCCCCACCGCCGTCCGCCCTGGCAGGGAGGCCGCCCACTATCCGCTGCCCAACGCGGGCCGGTCTGGACCGAGCCGGCGGTCCTTCAGCCGTTCCCCACCGCCGTCCGCCCTGGCAGGGAGGCCGCCCACTATCCGCTGCCCAACGCGGGCCGGTCTGGACCGAGCCGGCGGTCCTTCAGCCGTTCCCCACCGCCGTCCGCCCTGGCAGGGAGGCCGCCCACTATCCGCTGCCCAACGCGGGCCGGTCTGGACCGAGCCGGCGGTCCTCCAGCCGTTCCCCACCGCCGTCCGCCCTGGCAAGGAGGCGATCCGTCTCGGCGTTCATCAGCGTCCGGCGGCGGCGGCGCTGATTGGCTGGCCGCCCCGGCAATCAGCCGACTGCCGCTGCCATCAGCTGCCGATAATAGACCAGGCGGACGCCGCCGCCGCCGCCCGGCTGCTCTGTGGTCGCCGCGCGGCCAGACCAGCAGAAAGTGCCCGGCCACTGGCTAGTCTGCCTCCGGCTATCTGTCTGCGGCTTTGGGCACATGGCCGCGCGGGCAAGCGGCCACAGGATTTCGGCTATGGCTGCCGGCTTGAGTGTTCAGGATTTTCGCCAAGCCTTTTGATGCTCCTTGAGGGATGTTTCTTGTTTATGCTTCCTTTATGTATACCACATTACCCTGATGATGATACTTGCTCTCAATAATGCTACCGCGTTCTAGCCCGTCCCCTCTCACTGTAATTTTGTTCCCCTTTGAAATGTGCGTACTTGCAGTCAGGAAGTCATTTGCCGCCGCTTACCACATTCTCATTCTTATACTTAATTCCGAATGCATAGTTTTCTTTTAGCACCGACGCGCGATCCAAGACAGCACTTTGTGCAATTATGCACTTATGTATGACATCCAGAAGTTATTCATGCCCCAGACACCCTAGCCATAGACCCTCTCGATGAAAGTGTAAGTCAGTAGGAAACCATTCGAGCGTGAGAATACGTCGCGGCTCCTTGAAAACTTCGCCAGAATATTGTCACGCAGTGTCGATCCTTGAGCCGGCACTTGACTGATATGAAACGGGGAATCTGTGAAAGGCGACTGGCTTCTGAGGAAGAACTTGACTTGTTAGAAGCAGCACAAATAGCTCTAAAGTGGGTGTTACGTGTTAATAAGCTTCGAAATTTGGCCCTATTTCCATTGAACGAATTAAATGGGCAGCACAGGTTCGCTTCAGGAAATCAGATGCAGTTGTAGGTATTCATATCAGCCTTAAATAAGGCAGGGAATTGTTGAAGCTAAGCTGCTGCTTATGAAGTTTGCTTCATTTGTAAGTGTTAGTCGCGTCGGAACATGGTCAGTTTCAAATGTCGAAAAAACGAGGACCTAACCAGGGCTTTTGCTCATTACTACAGTGCAAACCACTCAAGTTATTTAGTAAGCTAAGAGCGAATTGAGTTTTATTTGTGTCCAAGGCACCAATCTTAAAGAACGTCACACAATGATAAGAACTGTTTACTATTTGAACGCTATATATGATACGTAAATTAGCCTTCCTGACATAGAAAGTGGCTAAATTATTTGGCATCAAAGAGATGGACAGTATGTTGTCAGTGTCACCTGTTTTTTCTTCAGGGTGTACGTGGTGGCATCACTGCAGAGTTTGGAACGTAATCTTGTGCGTATGAATATATTTCCAGGAGAAAAAAATGTTGATGACTTTCGACTTTTACCAGCTCCGCCTGCCAGTTTCTGGAACTAACTCATTTGTTTACAGAAAAGGCTATATTCCTTTGATTTATTAACATAATCGGAAATGAAGGTAAAAAACTTTACCAAGCTTGCGTTACTGAGAGCATATTCAGGAACGCTTCCTTCTTGTGCTTGCACTGCCCCCCCCCCCCCCCTCCCCCGAATCCCTGCAGTGCTAGATATGGTATCAGTCAAGATCATATCAAGACCGCACATATGTGCCACTTTCTCCTCTTCCCACTGTTTCTCCCTCCCTCTCTCCCCTCCCCTCTCTGTCCGTCTCCCTCCTTCTACCTCTCCCTCTTCATCTTCCTCTATCACCCGCCCTCTTTTTATCCCTCTATTCCTCTTTCTTTCTCACTCTCTGCTCTGTCTCTTCTATGCCTCTCCCTCCTCCCCCTCTTTCCCTCCATGTCCCACTCTTTTCCTGCATTCTTATACCCCTTGCCCCTCCCTCTCTCTCTCTCTCTCTCTCTCTGCCTCTCTCTCTCTCTCCATCTCTCTCTCCCTCCCTCTCTCTCCCTCCCTCCCTCTTTCGGTGGCCTGATGATGCCGCCGTCAGTCCGGCCATTGTCGGCGGTGGCGGCGGTGGCGCACCCCGTCCTCGCCTCTCCACCAACAGCTAATGGAGCCAAATAAAGCGGCCGGCCTTTCAGCATGGCTCGAGTGTTGAACCCCGTATTAGCCACACGTCAGCGGCCGCCGCGGAGCCCCATTAGGTTGGGCCGCGGGCGCCGGCCGGCGGCGGCGGCGCTGCCACCGACCGGCCGCCGGCGCACGTGGCTCGCGCCTCACGCGTGCGGTCGGGGTCACTCCTCGCGCCCGGCGACAGACTGGTGCCGGACACGTTTAAGCATGGACCGCAGTGTAGTAGACGATGTTTTAAGCATGCATCTTTGTGCTCACAGAAATGCACCTATGAACAGGTACAAACTTTTGTGTGATTACAACTGTTGCGGTAAACTTCAGTTTCCTAACTTTGGGCTGAAGGCTCAGCCGGTTCTGATGGTAACTGCAGTTTTGTCTGTTTCAGATCCGTACCAGATGTTTGGCCCCACAAGCAGTCGACTTGCCAGCTCAGGTACATGTAAACCTTGGCCTTGACGTGGCTTAATTATGTGGAGAATCGTGACATGTTTAGGTCCCTATGGGTCCAGCATAGCCCGCACATGTAACCGCAGGTCTATACATATTTTCATTAGCAAACAAATAAGGATCCTCATGTTTCACAAGCTCGCAAGAAGTTGAGGATCGTCTATCTCTATCATCTATTTAAACGGCACTGACCACCACAAACATCATGTAATAAGCGACAATACACGATAATATAAAATATATCATGATAAGTGTCACTCCCTTCTCTACCATCGTTTTCATAGTAAATATGCATCGGTATTTACACGAACGCTTATACCACGACACGACCCAAACAAAAGAAGAACGGTGCTACTCAAAGGCTCATGTATCTTTAGATTTGGTGTTAAGAGGAGTGACAACGAGGCTTTGCTTTCTAGTCTAGGCGGTAGAACTTCTCCGTCCAGGAGGGAGAACTTCCCAGTCCGGGAGGGAGAACTTTCCCGTCCAGGACAGAGAGCTTCCTCGTTCGGAAGGGAGAACTTCCCCGCCCGAGAGGGAGAACTTCCCCGTTCAGAAGGGAGAAACTCCCCGTCCGGGAGGGAGCACTTCCCAGTCCGGAGGGAGAACTTCCCTGTCCGGGGGGAGAACTTCCATGTCCGAGAGGGAGAACTTCCCTGTCCGGAGGGAGAACTTCCATGTCCGGGAGGGAGAACTTCCCTGTCCGGGAGGGAGAACTTCCCCGCCCGAGAGGGAGAACTTCCTCCCCCCCCCCCCCCCGAGAGGGAGAACTTTCCCGTTCAGGAGGGAGAACTTTCCCGTCCGGGATGGAGAACTTCGCCGTTGGGATCGTCTCCGTCGTTGAAACCACGGAAGTGAGAGCCGTCACCACATCGACGGCCACCTCTCCAACAGGCACCGGCCAGATCCAGCTGTGGCAGTTCCTGCTGGAGCTGTTGTCGGACAGCACCAACGCCAGCATCATCACCTGGGAGGGCACCAACGGCGAGTTCAAGCTCTCCGACCCAGACGAGGTGGCACGCAAGTGGGGCGAGCGCAAGAGCAAGCCTAACATGAATTACGACAAGCTCAGCCGCGCGCTCAGGTCAGGTCTCGCGACGGAGCCCGGAGCGGGTCACGGTACCCGGCTCCCAGTACACTTCAGAACCCAGTCGCGCGCTCAGGTCAGGTCTCGCGACGGAGCCCGGAGCGGGTCACGGTACCCCGGCTCTCAGTACACTTCAGAACGCAGTCGCGCGCTCAGGTCAGGTCTCGCGACAGAGCCCGGAGCGGGTCACAGTACCCCAGATCTCAGCACATTTCGAGACGAATCTGGTCCAGTCCGTGGCGGTATGGGCGACTGGTCACCCCCCGAAGCCTAAGGCTCATGTGTCATGCTTAGTCATGGCTCCTGAACCGCGCAGTGTAAAGTTCGAAGCGTCATGCATACGCGATCACGACAAACCTTGGGTGGCGGCAGTTGACACTTGCCATCGCTCTAGCGTTTCGTCGCATTCCCAGGTACTACTATGACAAGAACATCATGACTAAGGTGCACGGGAAGCGGTACGCCTACAAGTTCGACTTTCACGGCCTGGCCGCCGCCACGCAACCCGCCACTGACCCCGCCGCGTACAAGTACCAGGGCGACTTCTTCATGACTGGCTATCACACCTCGTCCAAGCTGAACTTCATGGGCACACACACGCCTATGCCCAGCAGCACGGGTGAGGCTGAAGCTATGGCGCCGCTCTGGGGAGAGGCATATGGGATAGCTGTGAGGCTGATGATGTGTGAAGACAAATGGCGTGGACGTAGATTCGCCGATGTAGCGGGGAGGGGAAGATGTAATGGGCCATGTTTTCTCAAAGCGACGAAAGCGGCAGAGCTTGTCATTGTCAGGCTTGCTGTTCGGGGTAAATGGTTCAGCATTTACACCTTGCTCTCCCAGATATTCCATGCTGATTCCGATGACTGTATGCGATCGTGCCAAGGGCAATTTTACGCCTAAAGATTCTGCATGTGACAGAATGGAACTCACTCTACCATCATGACCCCTGCTATTGGTGATGATAACACCGCGCAATGTGCACACATGCAGGCGTGTGGGCACAGCGCTAATGGCTTTGATCTTAATTCGGCGATGACAGGGACGACAGACTGTAACCTGACATATTTATTTGTGGATGTTCTGGGATCATGAGACGTGGCGGTTTAGACTTGAGATCGATTCATCTATTCGCAGAACAGGCCTTTTATCTGTGAAAGCATGCGACATTTTTCCATATAATGCACTTGCCAAATCAGCAGGATATCGAGAGGCCGTCATTTTATCAGCCTTGCGATTACCCAAAAATGTTTGGAAACGGCAGCCATCATTCACCTGGCCAGACGTCCACCAAACTGGTGCGGATTTAATCCGTAGCATTTTTTTCTCAAATTTTTACTTCGGGCTGTTTGATCGACCTCAGGGTGTTCCCTCGTGGCCTCCGGAAATGTCCTGTGTTTTGGTTTCCATTGATAATTTTTTTGTGTATCTCGGAGATGCTGCTCATTGTCCTTGATGACTAGGACGCAGATCTGGGATATGGATGTGTCAACACTCGGCGAGTTATGGCTATGCGAGTTCTTGCTGGATGTAGCCACGAGATGCTATCGTTTTGCTTCGTGCTGTTCCAGGGAGCATATTTCCGTCGCCGTCGTCCTACTGGCCGAACCCTAGTGCCAACCTCTACTCGAACATAGCGGCCGCTTCGGGACACATGACGTCGCACCACCCCAGTCACATGACGTCACACATCGCGTCATACCCCCACTATGCGTGACAGACCCCCGCCAAGTGGTGGATGTGGTGCTATCCAGATGAAGCAACGCCAACAGAGAATTTCTGAGAAAAAGGTTTAGTTGTACTACCTAAAGATGTGCGCTGGTTTCGTCGTGGCTTATACCGGTGTTGACTGGCATATATTTCTGTAAATTTGTCAGTATGGGAACGGATCACTGCTCCCTTTTGTTTTTGATTTCCACGATTTTGTCGTCTTTGTTTTTGCTCTGGAGCGTCGTCAAGACCGACCAACAAGTTGCAAGTTTTATGTTGCATGTGGTCCAGCTGCGATGTGTTATTTCGAACAAACAATGTACAAGTGTATAGTCAACATATTTAAATGGTCAGAAATGGTACTGTGATATATCTGAATGCTCGTATTATTCCTAGGGGGTAACAATTTTGGCCGTTCGTCAGATACAGTAACAGTGTGTAGAAAATGGACAGCGAAATGTTTTATAACAAACAAGTTGTGCCCCTTCGTGCTAGCAGTCAACAACACAATAATCCTTAGTTTTATATGCTGCAAAGGCTTTTGTTATATCTTGTATGGTTTCCAAAGCGTGCAGAGTTTGAATGTGCTTATTTCATGATTGTACGCGCTATCTCATTACTAGTCATATACGTGCAATATGGAATGAGTCAATTCTAGTCTTGGTTTCTTTTACGCACCATATTCGGTGCAATGTTTATGGTAATCGCCCCCGTCTGCGAGTGGGTGCGACTTAATGAAGCACAGTTATTCCGTGTTTTATGTTGTCTTGGCAGAATGTTTCTCGTCGCCATCACATTTGGTGCGCGGAGTGACGAACTTTCTTGTGTGCAATTGGTTTTGTGATGACATTTGATTTTTCCAGTATTTATTATCTAGAAGTGCAAACAATGTTGTCAGGAAGAACGACATGTTGAAAGTTAAGTTGTCTGCAACTGTGGATTCCCGATTTTGTAAATATAGATTTCATTGTACAGTCATGTGTACAAATCTGTCATACGAAACGTCTGTATATGTAGGCAGAATAAATAAGCTTGTAATTTACGGACCACCTCTTAGGCAATGGCGCCAAGGCAGAGACCCACGAAGTCGACTGAAGCGCTTCACAAAGTGGTGCAAAGCTACATGACGTTAAATGGCATGGCTTTGAGCATCTCAGGGCTGCTAGGTCAGTGTTGTCCAGCATATTGACATGAAAGAGAGCGCGTCTCGCTCAGCAGAGGCACGGAGCCAGGGGACCTGGATCCCAAGGGTCTCAGGGGTCCAGGGGTCTAGGGGTCCAGGGGTCAGGAGCCACGGGTCGGACCCAAGTCCTGCTGAGAGGCTCCATCCCCCGCAGGTACGGTCTAAAAAACCGTCATACGACACAGGCGCGCGAGGTCTATGAAACCTCTCGTCTGATAGCCTTGAAACTTTCACCAATCAATTCCGTGCAATGAGGTGAGTCATGGGGGGGGGGGCAATATCGAGACCTGACCTGAGGTTTAACACATTGAAAACGCGAAGGGAGGGTTTTGCCCGCGCATGCAGAAAGCTCAGATATCAGAGCCTGCACCGATCGCTGTGGAACCTTCACCACTGGAACCTTCTACCCCGTACCTGATTCCCTGTTGCAGTTCCAAATTTGGGGACCTGAGGTCAGGTCAAAAGCTGCCAAATGTCACCAAGTCTAAAATTATTGCTTGCAGACAACTTGCAACTCAGAATCTACAACACTGATAGCTGCCAAACCTTACCATCCAGTCCGTCATTTACCTTTAATTCTCTGTTGAAGCTGCAAGTAAGGTGCTGTTTCCAATTGTGCCTTTTCCCTAGCGGAGGTGTTGTACTGAAAATCACGCGCGGAATTGTGCGTGGTGTCGCCACGATCAACAGAGCTTTGGCGGTAAATACGTGATGGTGTGTGACTGATTGTTGTGCATGGTGTGCTAAAACCGCTTTGTCGTGATTATGCAAATGCCCCCGCAACAGTTTTTTTTGCGAGTCTTTGCGAAGTCCGCCGAATTCAACTGAATCGTGGCGACCGAACTGATTCGGATTGTGGCGACATCATGCACTATTTAGCGCGTGATTTTTAGCACAACACCTTTGCTAAGGAGAAAGTCAACCCCATAAGACCGGCCCAACCAAGCTGCACGTTTTTTTAGGAACAAGCATGCAGCAAAAGACATCATTGTAAATTGCGCCATATTACAGGTTCAGCAGAGCGTTAGGGTAAATGGCGCACTGGATGGTAAGGTTTGGCAGCTATCGGCGTGGTAGAATCTGAGCCATAAGATGTCTGCCAGCAAGAGTTCTAGACTTGATGAAATTTGACGGCTTTTGAGCTGACCTAGGGTCACCAAATTTAGAACTGCGGCAGGAAATCAGGTGTGGGGCCTCCATTGGTGAAGATATCACAGCGATCGGTGCAGTGGGCTCTGAGATCTGAGTTGTCTGCATTTGCGTGCCAATTTTCCTTTCGCGCTTTCGAGGTGTTTGACCTCAGGTCAGGTCTCGATGTTGCCTCTTCATGACTCGCCTTACTGCACGGAATCCGTTTCGGAGAACTTGCGTGTCTGCATCATATGCCGGTTTTGTAGACCCTACCTCCCCCGCAGAACAACAAGGAACGCTGTGCCAACAAGGCCGCTACATACAGGTGCAAATGGCGTAACTATGTAGAGAAGGATACCATCAGATCGATTGCTTACAGGAAGTGATTACGTGCGCGCAACAATTAGACGTGGCTTGAAAGCAGTGCATATGAGGTGAGCCAAATGGTACAGTTATTTCTGTACTTCTGCACGAGTAGTGGCCTCGGTGGTGCTTGCTGAGCAGTTACGGGAGCGGTTGTGCCAGTCCCATCGACTATACTACGCTCCCTTTAGAAAAGAACGCACTTCATTACGTTCAGAAGGTAAAAATATTACGGAAAATCGTTGGCTAATGTTTCTCGAGCCCTACCAGTAGGATGCTATAGTTCCCGTAACGTGCGCTTGGTATTAAGAGGTCACGTACATGGTGTTTAGCAGCATTAGAATTGAGGATAGCCCAGAACATCTAGAATCTGGCAGAAAGCAGCCTCGGCACTAGGCAGATGCCTTCTACAATGCACTAGCTCAAGAAGTCGGAGAGATGAACCGGTTCCAAACAACACATAAAATATTAAGGTAGCGATTTACACTAAAGCGTTATATTTAACGTTCAACCGGCATATTTTCAAAGATGAGGACGGTGTGTTTTGGAAGATGCAAGTACATCAGCAGTCACGTCTAAAGTAATGCCTCAAATGAACCCATAGAGCCTTACGCAAAGTATTCGATTCGTCGCCATCCTTCCTCTAAAACGCTGCTACGGCTGAGTGGCATACGCGACTAAGCGCATGCGCGTGTGTGTTGCGTACCTTGATGAGCGGAGCGATTGTCGCACTGGTATGATTTCGCGGGTAAGACAGCATACATCGGTGGTGAAATTGTGGCCGGTCGTTGCCCGTCATACATAAAAGGTAGCATTAAACTCTTACGTAAACGGCTGCTGATTCGTTGCACACAGCTACAAACCCCATGCTCATTTGCCCACGCGCAGCCCAGCGGGCCCAGCCGGGCGCGCACCCTTCAGGCCCCCTCATCTGCGCGCTGGGTCGGTTTTTCAGCTGTCACGGCTTGTCGGGGATGAGCACTAGAAGCCGCCGACTCGCAGCGTCATCCGCCAGCTCCGAACACGTTCAACAGTCCGTGACGATTATGCCTGTCACTGCCGCATTTCCGCTTTAGCGAACAAGGTCCACGGTCGGGTTCATTACACGAGTTAGAATGGGTGCATCTGTTGAGCAATAGCTAGTGACGGCGAGGATTCAGGACACAGCCGGCAGTGGTGGATGTTTAGCGAAGAGCACCAAAGACATGCGGTTAGGTGTCAAGGTGTTTAAATGTAAATTTGCTTCGTGGAGCATGCATAAGCACCAAATACTTACAAATCAGAGGACACAACGGTTTGAAAGTTCAAATTGCAGCGGCGCGGGTTGGCTCCAAAGTCGTATGGTACCAACAATCTCCAAATCAACAACTGACGAGTCAAGATTTTCAATATCAATGAATTAGGCTAGAAATGAGTCATATCTAAGAGGGCTAGAGGACGAAATAATAACTAAAGAGCAGCAGAATTTCACACCGAGCACGCATGCACATGCCCACGCCCACGCATACAAACACACACACACACACACACACACACACACACACACACACACACACACACACACACACCACACACACACCACACACACACACACACACACACACACACCACACACACACACACACACACACACACACACACACACACACACACACACACACACACACACACACACACACACACACACACACACACACACACACACACACACACACACACACACACACACACACACACACACACACACACACACACACACACACACACACACACACACACACCACACACACATACACACACACACACACACCACACACACACACACCACACACACACACACACACACACACACACGCACGCACGCGTGCACGCGCACTCACACAGTCATCCAATCTGTTCCCGTTTACTTCCTTGATGGTGCTCTTGCCCTGACGATATACGACATAAATGTCGTCAATGTTCTCTATGGCGGCAGATAGCCGTGAAGACTCAGACCTGGTCGACTCAGGTATTGGCTGGGTCCATGGTTGACAGCTACATTATACCATACCCAACATCGTGCCGGGTACGCAGTCGCGCATGGTCACGTCTCAGCCAAGCCGCCTCCCCCCCCCCCCCCCCCCCGACACAGGCGCGCATAGCGTTCCGGCCCCAGAACGAGCAGGAAAACAAAATTAAACCGCATCGCATACATATACGCTATTTCACTATAAGACGGCAGCATCTACAGGCCGCCGCAGGGTCAGATGCGCAACATAATACATATCTTTGGGACATAATAATTGACTCTGTTTGCACGTTAAAGAGAATGTTTCACTTTGGAAGATATTGAACCAGGCATCAGACATGACGAAACAAGCTCACTTATAACTATTTATATACTTTTTAAGTGGCAGGGCTGCTCTACACAGTACAATTCTCTTAGGCCTTAGGTCTTATGAGCTGCTTAGGTCTTAAGAAACGAGTTGTGAGCAGTGCCGAAATATCTCCAACATGGCTATTTCAGTTCAAGGCCCCACATAAATGCTTAACACTCCCATTAAGCTTTTCCTGTACTCTCCCTGCGGCCCCTCTAGTTCGACATCACGTCGGCCAGAGGCAGTGTGCTCCAGTGGTGGCGGCGCGTTGCACGTTCCGCCAACTCACGGCTCTTGTAAACTGAATCAGTGCTACTCAGGGGTGACGGGAACACGCTCCAACACTTGTACCGTGTTCTAGACACCCGACTGTGCCAGCCCTTCAGCCGTGTTTCAGTGGTATCTCACTTTAAGTTTGTTGTTTTTGGCTGAAGTTGAAATGCCACCTCTTGAAAAGCACTCTGTTCGTCGGAAGACATCCCCGCTCAGTGTCAATAGTCCAGTTCAAAATTCCATTGAATCCGAAATATTTAGTGTGCTTCTTACATGCAATGATGACAGCTTTATTACAGGCGAGGCCGTAGACCGAGCAGATCTTTCTTGACCTTTGACAAAGTTATGACCTTGAGCGGACCGGTGCGGTCCTACCCGGTCGTTTCGTCTACTACGAGCTTGTAACTGCAGCTACAGGCCACACATTCACGAAGCAGCGATGAAAACGAATTCTAGAAAAGTTGTGTAGTCTAAATCTGAAGGCAATTGCTGCCAAGCGATTTGTCCCGGTGTGGATTTTCTGCGGGATTACCTTTGGAGCAAATATAGCCTTTCGCATTCAATCCACATGGAAGACATAAAGTTTTCAAATAACGGAAACAAGTATTCAGCAAACTGGCTGAAATAACGCTAGGAAAAATAACGAAAGCACGCAAACCACGCAGATTGATTCCGAATCTTTTCATCTGATGGATTTCTGCGATCAGCGCTTCGCTAGGCAGCGCTTGTTGCCTG